TAGTACTAGTACTAGTAGTCGTAGTTGTAGTCGTAGTCGTAGTCGTAGCAGCTACTACTACTACTACTACTACTACTACTACTGCTACTGCTACTACTACTACTACTACTACTACTACTACTGCTGCTACTGCTACTATTGCTGCTGCTGCTGCTGCTGCTGCTGCTGCTGCTGCTGCTACTGCTACTACCACTACTACTACTACTACTACTACTACTACTACTACTACCAGCAGTATTAGTAGTAGCAGATCAGCAGCAGCAGCAGCAGTAATAAAATCGTGGTCGTCGTCGTAGCAGCAACAGGACTAGTACGTATTAGGAAGTAGTAGCAACTCGTAGTAGTAACAGTAGTACCTCGTAGTGAGTAGTGAGTAGTTCTAGCAGTAATCGTCGTCCTCCATGTCGTCGTCGTCGTCCTTGCCGTGTCTAGAAGCATCCCGCCGCCGCTATAAGCCATGGCAACAGCAGTACATCCGACGATGCACTTGGTTCCGTGACAGCAACTAGCAAAAATGGAGCTCTGTACATGGCCCACCTACACAACTGGTTATAGGCAATAACACTCAAGAGCCGGCTTGGAAACTCCCACTCTTCCACCCGGAACCTCCTCGTCGGACTCGGCAGCCTTCGGAGCACCTTTAGAGCCCCCTGCTGCTTGCTTGGCCTGAGCTGGTCATCAGAGTGCACCACCGGTACACTTGGCAGAAAGCTGTTCCGACATAGCGAATTGGCAGTAGCATATGTAGATACCTAATCGGGATTTCGAGCTCAAATCTCAGGGTAGGAGCTTCAGGGGTGGCGACTCGGAAATACGTTGCACTGTCATGCGTTGTAGTCAGGTCGCGCCCGGACCTACCATCCGGGTGCGCGCAGGGCCCGAGGAGTGCATATCAGTCTAGGTCGCCATTGCAGTCGTTGACCTAACACTGTCACAGTGTGCCGGGAATCTAGGACGGCCGTTTGAGCAAGATCGCCAAGCAATCTTGCAATCTTGCCCCGCTTGCCCACTGGCTCCACTTGCCCCACTTATGGCAAGATTACCAAGAATGCAAGATTAGCTGATGAGCAAGACTGCTGTCAATCTTGCTTTTGGACCAAGATTGCAAGATGACCAAGATTGCCAAGACGGTTCCGCAAAATAATGGTTCTAAATTTCCAGCACGATGCACTGTCATTACATTTGGGGTCGTCGCGAAGATCCTTTTGTATTTCCAACTAGTTCCAAAGTGATAGCGAGTCGCAGAACCTGCGGCCTTGCCAACGGCACTGGATGCTCCAGCCGCAGCGCCCCTGAGCAGACACAGCATCGAAAGCATTTACAAGTGGGCCAGGAAAGCACGAAATGGTGCAGCGTGCCGGGAGCCCGGCGCGAATTTCATTTGGGTTCCAAGGCTTACCATCGAGTGGCCTGTATGGGGCCACTTCGTAGCGGCTGCCCCTTGGCAGCTCTATGTGAGTCCAGGATGACAGTGAACATGAGCTGTGCCAGAACAACAGCCAGCAAATGTGCTGACCTAACACGATTTGTGGAACGCACATGTTGGGCAACGTGTACACTTGATCAGTCCCAGCACACGATGGGGCCAAAGAAAGCACTGCGGGACCTCTACGCTGAGTCAAGCCGAAATAGCGGCAGCAGCAGAGGTGAGAAGTTGGGCTAAACGAGCACACTTGCCATACAGGCGGAACCGTGCAGCACCAAGGAGGGACCAGACAAAATCACTGTCAAGTAAGGGGCTCGTCGCATGCTCCTATGCCACCACCTTGGAAAGATTCAAGCTTATGAAGTTGGGTCCTCGAAGCCCAGGTAAGGTGATGTCGTCGAATGATTGGTGACGTCCTGGTAGGGGAAGCTCGCTCGCACGCCGCGCACAGGTCACACATGTGGCTGAGGCCTCTTCTTCCGGTTTGGGTCGAAATCCTGTGGCAGCTTCAAACGGCACGGTGCGGTACCTTTACTGGCTCACGAAACTGAGAGCAACGCCCTGGGCGAGAAGCTTTCTTGCAATCAACCGTTCCTTCTCCCAACCTGGCTTGCTTCGAACCTCTAGCCGCCTCTAAGCTGGCCGTGGTGCGTGAGAAGGAATCTCAGAGTCCTGGATCTGCCCCGAGGAGATCTTCATCTTCGGCCGCTGGCTCTGTAACTTCCGCTTCGGCAGCTTCCGGGTCGGCAGTGGGAGCTTCGACATCGTCCGCGGCCGTGGCCTCCTCGCCGTCAAGGTCGATGACGTCAGCGTCTCCTTCCATGCATCACCGCTTCGGCATGCTTTGGCATTACAGACACGCGCATTGCATCGCATGGCCCTGTCTGCAGTCGGAGCCTTCGGCCGCCTCGTCCGCCTCCTCGGCCTCCTCCTCGGCGGCCTCTTGAGGCTCCAGCTCGGCCAGCTCAGCCTGGGCCTGGACGCGTTCTCAGCGCTCCGACGGCCCGAAGGATTCAAGTCTCGCCATGCTCACGCGAGCAACTTCTTATCGATTTGGCGATTCAAGGCTTGGGTGCACCGTGCAGATCTCTCGGGATGGTGAACATGCAGGGTGTACGTGCTTTTTCATGCATTTCTGTACCGATATTATTGTTTCATACACACTGCACTTGCATTTAACAGCGACGTGTCGCAGCACGTGGCAGCAATATGAATCACAGTTCGGAATACAGTCTCAAGTGTCGGCACAAGCATGGCCTCGTATTAGACCATGACGTGCAGCGAGTATGATAGAGTATGCAACGACAGACTTTAGGGCTGGCCCGGGCTGGCTGATTGGGGCACGAAACGCGGAGTCCTCCTCCGTCTGCTCAGCTGGCTGCTCAGCCTGCTGAGGATCGCAAACGCCCAAAAACTCCGGCGGAAGCCCGAACCGCCCCAGGCGAATTCGGCAAGCAGTAGCCGTAGCCGCCTTTCTTTTCGGCCGGGGCTTCGGACGCGGCGCTAGGGCTAAGACCTGGCCGAAGCGACGCCGAGGTTTTTGCAACGCTAAGCCGCTCCCCGGTCCCCCCTTTCTTGCTGCACCTCCGCTCCATTCTCTGCAGGCCCTGTGGGCTCCGCAGATGCGGTCTCCTGCCACGTCTCACTACGTCTCAACTGGTGACGGTCGGCCCCTGCCACAGACGAGGAGTAATGTGCCATAGTCTGAGATAGTCAAGTTAGAATGAAACCTTTACTTGGGCCAACGAGATCCATGCTCCGCGAAGGGACTGCAAGCCACTTACACCTACACCCCGCCGCCGAGACTGACATTTATTTAGGGAACCCTCGAGATCTCTATGACTCCGGGCCATAGGGCCTCGCAAGACCTTAAGCCGGCAAGGCCCTAGACGCGAAGCCGCGTCCTGGCTCTGTTCATTTCTCATCGTAGGGCTCTCGTCGCGCCTCCATCCTGGGCAACGCGTGCGATTTGATGCTGGCATGTCGGTGGCTTTCCCTCGTTCGCTTCAGGGCCTTGGGTTCTGGGCAAGATGCCCATCTTACAGGCAGATTTTTAAAGGAAGCCGAGCTGCAAACAACTCACTGTCTCAAACTGACATATTGTGGTGGCCCACGACGGGATGCAAATTCTACCTATGTCAGGCGAGAGGGTGGGTCGTTCAAACTCTAGGCGAGTCTCGGAATGACTTGCCGCCGCTTGTGCCGTAGAACGTCCACTGCACTTCCTCACCATGCAGCTCGAAGCTCCCCCGTGTGATCGTTGTGGCTGTACGCCGGCCTTGTCGTGGGGTCTGAACTTGTCGAGGTAGTAGCCTGAGATCGTGGCGACTCTTCTGACGGATCTGGGCTGAAACCGCAGTAAGCTTCTCACAGACAAAGTTAATGTAAGACGAGAGTCGTCCCGACTTGCCCCATTTGAAAGTGTGCCATCTCTCCTGCCGGCTCGAAAAGAAACTCTGCAAACTTTGTTTCCGAAAGCCCCATGAAGGCCCTGTATCCTGTAAGGGGGCGGCGGTCCTCCCAAACGAGCCAGTTCTGGAAGGTCCGAGACCCCTTCGCATTGTCGATGCCTGAACATTCACACAGGTCAGAATACCTTCAAGCTGCATGGAACAAAAGGCCAAAAACATCCAAAAACCACAAGCGAGCCGAGGCTGCGGATCGTGGCGCCATCGACGACGTACGACTCGCCGGCTTTCTGAGACAGGCAATGAAAGCCGAATTCCAGCATCTGACTGTTTCGCAAAGCTGCACCGGCCTGTGCATTGGTCCACGCCCCTTGCAGGAAGTCAAGAGCCTGTTGTCTGGAATGCACAACAGTGTTCAGCTCGCGCATACCGAAACTAACAGCGACAACGAGGGGGACGACGATGACGCATGAAGCGGGTCAATGATTGTCACGACCACCACCACCACGACAACGACAACGAGTACTACTCCTCTTGCGACTGTACTGCTACAGCTGGCTGCTGCTGCTGCTGCTGCTGCTACTAGTACTACTCCTCCTCCTACTGCTGCTGCTACTGATGCTGCAATTACAACTACTACTACTGATACTGCTCCTCGGCTACTGCTACTGCTACTACGACGACTATCACGACTACGCCGACTACCACGCCTACCACGACTACTACGACGACTACGACGACGACGACGACGACTACTACTACTGCTACTGCTACTACTGCTGCTACTACTAGTACTACTACTGCTCCTACTACTACT